TTTTCAACTTATTCGCAGAGCGATTTCAAGATATCCTTTATCACCCAGTTGCTCTATTTTTATGACAGCATCTTCTGTTCACCCCCCAAAGTGGAAGTATATCACAATGGAGTTATGAACTTACTGTGGACTCTCTCTCTCTACAACGACAATCAAGTAACCAGAAGAAATGTGTTGTTCAGAGAATTTTGTTCTTTCAGCAACAAAATTTAAATAACCAGAAGAAATGTGTTATACAGAGAATTTTGTTGTAGAAAACCTTCATGAAATGGAGAGAGAAACCGATGGGACCTAAACAACTCCCAGTATAAAGAAAATAACATTGTAAACAAGATTTTTGTAGAGAGAATCCACCTCTATCAATTTTTTGTAAATTCAATGATCCCAGAAAAGTTGAGAAATTAATTCTTTGAATTTTCTATTATCTGCGCACCTTAATGCAAGATTGGTTCTTGTTCTTTGTTGGGTTTGCTACCAAAAAATTAAATCTCTTGTGGTTTTCTTCTGCACAGATATTTCCTGACCTTGAATTTAATAAAAAATTTTGATGACTTCATTCCTAATTTTTTATACTCAGGAGAACCAATTAAGTGCATATATGTTCCCATTGGAGTTTATGGGGAAACTTGATCCAACACACAGGGCCACATGGTCCAAGCACTAACTACATTCAGATCTTGGAGCACCACTGTAATTCTGTAATACTAGTTTATAACCCATGGATTCTAACCATGGAAACAGTGCTATATGCCAGGATGTTTCCTCTCATGAATTATCTGAATGCACATAGAACTCATACAACCATCAATGATGGTCCTAATCATAAGACCATACTGTGAGAAGAATCAAATCTGGTGGATTGTTGCGCATAGATCTTGGATTGTCAGGAAACAATTCAATTTCATGAGCAGATTATACATCGGCATATTTTATCGGGTTTTTCATGCCAATCACCGGTCAAAGAAATATCTTAGGAAATAAAGAGGTGGGACTCACAATGCATGAGGTACTTAAGCAAGGCTGCATTTAAAAAAAAATTGTAAGCTGGAGCAATATCAGAGCCATTTTCAGCAAACACACAGGTTGTGCAAGAGCTGGATGCTATCAGCAAGGTGAACTCGAACCATGTCTGATTGTATATAAAAATGTCCTGCCCAGCAAAAATTTCAGATTGCCGCCTGAGATGGCAGCTATTTTCACGCGTATCCTGGCCGTTTCAGGTGGTGGTCAAACGGTTTTGGATGCAAGTAGGGATCTGTTTTCCTGACGTGGTCAGGATGGGGTAAAAAACGTTTTTAGCTGACGCTTTTGAAAGCGTCAGAGTCTGACGCTTTTAAAAGCGTTTTTAACCTAGTCAAAAACGTTTTTCCGTGATGCTTTTGAAAGCGTCAGAGGCTGATGCTTTCAAAAGCGTTTCTTACGCTGTTAAAAATGTTTTTCCGTGACGCTTTTGAAAGCGTCAGCTTCTGACGCTTTCAAAAGGGTTTCTTACCCTGTTGAAAATGTTTTTGTGTGACGCTTTTGAAAGCGTCACATTTTGACTCTTTCAAAAGCGTTTTTTACACTGTTAAAAACGTTTTTCTTTGATGCTTTTGAAAGAGTCAAAATAACTTGTGACTCTTTTAGAAGCATATTTTACCCTGTAAAAAACGTTTTTCTGTGATGCTTTTAAAAGCATTATTGTAATTTTATTATAGTAAGTGCTGTAATGTTTATTGCAACAAGAAANATACACAATTGATGCATTCATGCACCATATTGCAAATAATACATATTCATTTTAATTACAGCACACAACAGTGTGCATGACAACAATGTAACAACAAAGTAAAAGCGGTGTTAACACAATGTTATTTTCTGAAATTGCCAGTAACACATAAATTGCTGTATGGCTTATTATTACACATTGTTGTAATGTGTATTCATTATTTTGAATCTTTCCATTGCTGTAATATTTATTGCAACAAGAAATTGCTGTAAAATGATTGTAAAGATCAATTTATGTGTTACTGGCAATTGCAGAAAACAACATTGTGTTAACACTGCTTCCACAGTGTTGTAACATTCTTGAGGTTACAATACTGCAGCATGGATTTGGACTACCAGATCCATGCTGTGATGCTAGAGTTTCTAGCCAGAATTTCTGCTCTGGCCAATCACTGTTGTATGTTTGGTGCAGTTGTTATGGCTTTGGGCACTGAGTTGTGGGGTCCTGGTTTGAATCCCCAGTAGGTTGCTTGTTTATTCATGTCTTTCCTTTGAGTGTGCGTGTGTGTGTGTGTGTGTTTGTTAACATGCTAATATGCACCCTGCATTCACAATGCTAGTATAGTGTACTGGCATTGTAAATGCAGGGCTGCATAGCAGCCAAAAAAATTTTCTTGAAATAGTTTCACTGACGCCATAGGGAACAGCGTCAAAAAAATGGGAATCTTGGCGGGAATATGGGGGGGGGGGCTCCCAAACCGCCAGGATAACCGTCAGGGGAAGCGGCAATCCTATCCCCATCTCTCCAGGGGGGTATAATGCCAGCTTTTTATGGTCTCAGTGGCTGCCTGGATAGATGTCCACTCTGGACGTCTATAAGGCCGTCTTTAGTGGGTAAAGGCAAGTGGATAATGGCCAAATTATTTGCTGGGTGGTTGTCATTCAGCTTTTCAAGCTCTTTTCTGTATATTTGATCTTGTCGATAATTCAGGCAGAGTTTCTCAAATTTTCGCCGACTTACGCTAAGAACTATGGTGATGGTAAGATACGGTAAGATAATCTGAAGAAAACTGATGACCCATATTTTTGAATTGCACAAAATTCGTAATGCATGTTTGAAGCGCGCGTGATCCGTCAGTATAAATATCAACTCCCACTGACGAAATTTGAAAATAATTATATGAATATTAATCGCAGTCCCCTTGACGAGGAATTTTTTAAATTTTCGTCTGTCTATATAGTACTGTACTTCGAAATTTGTGTGATGCTGGTTAAAAAAAAGCTTTAAAGCAAGGATCTGATGCGAAAACACAGCAGTCTGTGTTCGGCACCGAAGAGAAATTGAAACTACAATAAAGACGGGTTATACCTTATTTATTTTTGCCAAGGATTCTTCTCAATTGGAATTAACCCATCCATGCTACGAGCCACCCCAAAAATTCGGGAATACTTCACGTTCAACATCAATCAAAGAAATACAGTATAACGAAAATTGTTCCTCATTTATGATGTCGCCTCAGTGGTATTATGGAAGCTTCAAAACGTCATCATGGAGAAAAATTTGTGAACATTTGAAACGGGTGAAGCTTAGATCAACAGATAAATCCATCAAACATTCATACATTAAAATTCAACTTCATTTCTTCGACATGGCAGCATTTCAAACTCTCTTTACTCATCCCGTCAATTCAACCTGCACGAGTAAAAATCCTGCGGGAGGCCCAGAATTTATAAAATGCTACTCTCCGTAAGCATTCCATCCACCATCTTTACATCCTCGAACGAAACTCCAGCATTTAAATTACGAAACTGACGAAACTCCAACAACAGAACTTATGAACCAATCCCCCGTTACCCCGATCCGCGCCGTCGGCGCCGGGTTAATTTTTAGTACGCCCATGTCGTCGTTGTCTGAAGTGAGTCGGGTACAAAGAACACCCACCGTGAGCCAGCCCTGGGAATTTATTCATTCCCGCGCAGTCTCGACTCTCGACTCTGCTTCCGACTGGCGAGAAATATTGGCCTGTTGTCGAGATCAATCGTAACCCCTTCCGGCGCCCTTATGGCGAGTTCTGTATATGCAGTACCATCACGGGGCTTCCCATCAGCAAACGACATATACGTAAGCATATATATATATGTGTGGTGGTACGCCGAATGGTCCACGAACTCAACGTAGTGGTAAATTACGGATTTTTACTCTTTCGTGCAAAACTTATAGTTCCTGCATCAGATCTGCTGATAGGATGGATTTTGACATTTTTTTTTGTTCTTGAGATGAAGCATCTTCAGGGGCGATACGTTAAGTGCAATGGGACCCTTGCATATATATTCAAGTGCGACATATATGGACAATTCGACTTATTAAGAACACACGAAATTTTAAAAAATCTGCCCCAACATTCAAAAACCTTCTCAAGATCCAGAAAAGTTTCAGACATATCTAGACAATGAAGGGAAGCATTTTATTTTTCTAAATGTTCATATTGTACTGCATATTGAATATATGGAGGTATTTTAAATTCACAAAATAAAATAAAAAAGATTTCTTATAAATAAGCTCAAAGCTTACAGTTTTCAAGCATCAGTGGCGGTTTGACCAGCGTCAATACCACTTCTAATATCAAGATTTTGGGTTCATATTTTTTCCTCTAAGCCCCCATTCTTCCTAAACCATGTACGAATTTTGAACAAGCAGATGTTCAGGTGAATTTTTGAGAATTTCTGCCCTTGATTCCACCTTCCATTCATGTCCAAAGAACTATAGTCACAGTTGATTTTGAATGGAAAAATTGAGACTGAGCCTGCCTTCATTAGGGATTTTTCATTAGGAAAATCACAACATATGTCACTCAAAAGTTTGTTCAACTGAAATTGGAGAGTTTCTTGTGAAGAGATTTTTATAGCATGTACAGATCTCTAAGCCTTACGGCGTTAATATGCACGGTTAAGTTTGGATAAATATACCTCAAGTTATGCTTAGCTTTGAAGGACTCGCAAAAAATAATCGCGCGAAATGATGAAATCGTTCGAAGATTTTAAAATCATTTTCATTTTTATGCGAAAAAATTGAATAAGAAACCTCGAGGAAAGCGTGAAGACGATCTCAAGCAAGCTAAATGTTTCCACGTTTTGATTTTGTCCCTCAACTTTTTCGATGATGAGGTAAGGTATAGAATATTTTTTCTTTTAACTGATGACTGGCTGGAAAGATTTAATCAGGGTTTTTTGTTCACAATGTGTAAATTTCATCGACTCGGTCATGAGCCGAAATGCGGAAAATGGACCAGACATTGTGGAAAAATTGTTTTATTGTATTTCTTCACGTTAACTTACCCTTGGTGATTCTCGATGTCGATCCCGAAATATGACACCGTAAAACGGACATTAATGTCGAGCAGAGAGAGCAACATTTTCTTTCTCGTTGTAGCAAATGAAACCCTTGCCAAACAGGAATGTCTTCAATATTTTCCGGAAAGTTGAATAAACATGGTCTTCTGTTTGACGTTCTGCGGAGATAACCAATTGAATGCATCATCGCAGCCGTTGAATTGGCTTCAGTAGGACTTCAGCAAACGTAAACGCCTGAAATGGTTGTCGAAGGTTTCTAGAAATTTTGGATTCCAGAGCAACGCAGAGTCATTATTGACCACGAATGCGTTTTTGGCTTCATCTCGCAATGGTCGAATCACGATGAATCTACCGAAAGATAAATGCCGTCACCAACAGGTTTAAATGCATTGACAGTGAATTGCTCCGACTAAAGTATATTAGAACAAAAATTAAATCCTCGAGCTCCGTTTGCAAAACGTCGATTTTAATTAGTAGTTCCTGGTCAGAACGAATTAACAGAATACAGGATAGAAAAAGTCACTCGCAACCTGAGAAATTTCCGAATCAGGTGAATAAATGATCAACACCTTCTATAATACCCCACAAAATGGTTCAACCAACTTCGGCATTCAAACGAGACGCGCGAAGGGAATTTCATTCAATTGAAATATACATACGGTAAAATTCAATTTAAAAAGTTCTATACTGATGGGGAATTATTTTTAATATGCATCAGCAAAGTAAAAGTCCTTTTGATCAATATTCAACCGCAGATTTAAAGATTCAATGTCAATGCAGGAACCGGAAGCAGGATTTTTTAACTGTTGTTCATTGAGCAAGGATGGAAGTGCAAGAAATGTTCTTAGCACGTAGGAGAAAAATGCTGAAACAAAGTAATGGCCAGTATTTTTGTCTGAAGAAGACTGAAACACAAATATAAATTAATTATTCTCTAAGATAATATCCTGTACGTCGAAAAGGTATAAATCATTTTCTGCATATAGTGTAGGTTCCAAAAACCCACTTTTACGGACACAAAAAAAGACCGTCAGAAGCTGGACTGGAATCCCAAGGTATTTTTGATTCCGAGCCTGTATAGATAAATAAAATCAAAGAACGTGATCAAATTTTAATTTCACGTAATTCAAAATCTATATTTGAAGAATCCGATCACAAGACATTATTCTTGGTTTTAAAATAAATGTTATTGGAAAAATTTACCTATTATGCTTTCGTCTCGACATTTGCAATCAAACTCAGCTAAAAGAAAGAATCGTACCAGAAGCAATTTAAAGTCTGTTTGCAAAGAGCTTAAAAAATTAATTCAAGCAATAGAAACCCTCAATTTTTAATTGAACGTAGGGAGAACAATTTCCACCGTTTTGCCCCTTTAGTCAGCGGTGTCGTCAACGTCGATTGTCACAAAGCAGGACACAATCAACGCTGACACCATGGGTAGAGTTGTATACGGTCCACGATGAGAAGGTAACCGATATCGTGAAACCCCACGATCAGGGGACACTTTTTGCTGAATGCTGAACCTCATCATTACCTAAGGATTTGGTCATTTAAGAAAGCCCTGCGTATACACTCAAGCCAGCTGAACTTTCCTTCATCTCCTTGAATCTCTTTCAATCTATCGTCTCGGTCAGTCTCAGAATCAAACCTTTTGAAATGCAAATCGATAAAGAATCGTTAGTGAGGTTCGTTTTGCAGTCCACGGAGTTTGAAATTGAAACATTTCTCGGGCAATCTCTCGTCGTTCGTTCGATGGAAGCAGCAAGATATGCGTATTTCATCCGAAATAAGAGGGAATTGATTCAGAAGTTACGTCAGTCTTTCACATCTCATCATCCACACCGAATGTCACTTTCCGGATCAATACTAAAGTAAATACTAATCTCTCAAATATTTTCTGCGCCAAGATTTAAATTAGAAGAAGAACAATATCGCAGTTAACGTGCACCCAGTCTCGGACTCAAGTTTCCGTATAATTGCCCACGCAAGCTTAAAAATTGTACATGAAATTCAACAGTTTAAATTATTTGCACTAAAGAAAAAGCAGATCACTTTGTAAATGCTGCAGTCCTGAAAATAGTGTGTCAAAATGAAATGCTGGATTTATTTTAATCATTTCGTGATGCTGAATGCGTAGCTTAGTCAAACCATTTCTATACTATACAGCAATGTATTTCAAACATATTCTTGCAACTTCACTACTGTTTAGTATAAATGTACTCAGTGATCTGATTTAATTTGGAAGACTGCTATGTGGGTCCAAGAATAATCTTCTCGACAGGATTTAATTTTTTGGAACTTCACCTTCGTTCGTTCGATTAGAAACAATAAGCATTAAATTCAGATTAATTCATTGATCGACTCTGCAAGATTGAAGTTGATCATGAATTAACCATCAGTAAAGGGTGATGAAAGAAAAAGTTTCGGGGAATATAAAAAAAATCCCATCACCGGGTCATTATCTCACTGGAGGTATCGTATAAACTGCACTGACGAAACTTTTGAAGCAGCCCTCGCTGATCTGAGGAAATTCGTTGGCATTATTGCAGATGCGTCTTCATCAAGAACGTTTCAACCAGCTGTAATACTACATTACATATGCACTGATCAAGAGATCTCTGGCATATATTAAACAGATGTACAATATATAGAGCAAGAAAAATGATGCAAAGAAATCCTCTCGACTATACTAAATAGCTCCTCCCTTGCCTCATCGTCGTCATCACGCCGGTTCCCATTCAAATGAAAACAGTCAATCAGGAATAAAATAGAACAATAATAAAGCCCCGATTGCTGCTGGTGCGACACACATCAGGCAGTTGTAAAAAAAATATAACAGGTTGGGGGAAAAAAGAAAAGAGTGCAGGATGAAATGCAGCCACACAGCACAGCACAGCACACGCCGGTGAATATCAGCAGCACCCGTTGTACTTTTCTAGGTAATACTGGTTCGAACGGTCGGTGAACCTGTCGAGGGAGAAGCTGGACACGTCCAACGCCGGGCGACGTTTCGTGGCCAGGTCTGCCAATGCCTTGCCCAGAACCGGGGAGATCTTGAATCCAGAACCTTTCGAGGATAATTAATTGAATAAGCCGAGAGGAAAGTTATTCATCATCGAAAGCACTTCTTCGGAAACGCTTGCCCTTATTGAAAATGTAGGTGGTTAGTTACACGAGTAACGGCACAGTAACGGAGGGGTCTAGCAACATTTCTCGGGATAGAAATTCATTGAGGTAATAGAAGACAATTATTCTTGAGAAAACAAAATTCTTTTGCAAGCGAAAGAAAAGTGACCATGTATTTTTTTATTTGTTTGCAAAAGTCATCTGAGACATATATAGGCCTTCCAAGGTAAATCCGCCGTTTTCACCAACAGCTGCCACATTCTCATCCCAATAAGCGGCGGTTGCGAAGGCGGCTGTTGATTAGAATGGCGGAATTAATGACAGAAACCCTTGGGATTATTGCCACGAGTGAATTCTGAAAGAAAAGCTGGAGTAAGGTAAAAGTTCTGCGATATGGGCCCCACCTTTTGAGTGAATGAGGACAGTAAGCTGCCAGGGTGACTTACTCCAAGCTTTTCTGAACAATGTTTCAAACAGGGATACATTTTTTCTTATTTTACCAAAGAATGTTTTTTTTCTGAACAATAATTATTTATTCGCTCAATCAAATGCCATTTCAATTTATATTTGAACGAAATTTCTAAAATCCTCGTATTATTGATGATTGTGACACAGAACTTTCTATGTTAATATTGACTTATATACGCATACTCTTCTACACCTGAGTATCAGCATACTTTTTAATTTTTCTGAAACTTTCAAGCCTGGGGAGGTTTACTTCGTGAAGAGCATCCGTTTTTTGCAAATAAGAATTTTAAAAATCGTGAAACTCACAAAAGAATATTTAAATGACGGTTTGAATAGAAATGCTTGGTGCTGAATTTATTTATGGAATGCGTAAAAATTCTTTCGGAAAATGAACTAATAATCAGAGGTCAAATTTCTGAGCTTTGGATGGAATATTGAGGCTAAACGAGAAAAATTTCGTGACGTTTCACAGGTATCTACTGTATTTCGAACGTCTTAGAAATTTCGAAAAAAAAGTATCAAAATATTTGCAATACGTATAGTTTTTCAAACCCCGTATTATTAGGGATGGAAAGACTTTATTACGGCAAAGACAATTAAAAAAATTAAAGTAAACAGACTTTTATTTTTCGTTAAGACTGCTTCGGTTGTCGAACCATATCGGATAAGTGTTCACAATAAGTCCGTTGCCTCAATCAAGACGAACATAATCAAAAGATGGACAAACCTGCAGCAGCTCCGACGACGACATTGTCATAGAATGGATGAATGCTCACGATATGACGCTTGTCTTCGATGTGCTGTTGAAAGAGAACATGGAGACCCCAGAAACAAAAAAAAACGAAAATAAAATAACCATGATGAATAATTAACCTCAAATATTTATCAATTACTGCAGAAACTTTGTGACTCACGTAGTACATGCACGTTTCGTATATGGCCATTGTTTGATTGAGACACCCCAAGTGTTCTTTCACGTACTCAATGCCTGCTTCTCGCATCCTGTACGGGTCGTCCTGGTCCCTGTGATCGGGATCCACGGGGATCCACAGGCCTATCCCCAACTGTTGAAGAGATCACAAATATTAATTTTTTCAGAAATACCGATCAAAAGGATCAATGAGAAAGATAATCGAAATGAGTACTGACGTCAGGCAAATTACACTTCATATATGGCAGATATATGCAGTTCCATTAAGGAATTAATTAAAATTCGAACAATTTGGCCTTTCTCCTATACATAATCAAAAAGATAAAAAATCTCTCGTTTCGATTATTTCTTCAAAAGCAACTCATGTTTTAATGATGCACGTATAATAAACGTCCAGCATATTAAAACTTTTTACGCGTGTGCACGTATCGTATCCAATAAGATAATAGAAATACTTTACGGTACAGTACTTGTACAAGTCATCACACCAACTCCTTTGCAGCAGGTAGTAGAAACCTATTTTTTCAACATTAAATCATTTTCAAGGCTTCTTTTTCATTATATTCCATATGGAGTAGCCACAACCGAGCCAATGGTGAATTTGACGGTTCCCTCCGCACCCAAATCCTTTGTATGCCACAAAGGATTTTGCCAAAAGGTTATTCTCTGTCGAACGATCAACAGAAACAGGGAGGAAATAAGCAAGACAGACCTTGACCAAACCGGGATACTCGACGACTGGATGCGTCCAGGCACGAAACCGCTTCTCCGTATCGTAGTGGATGAAAGAGATGTCAGCGATGGAGGCGCCCTCTCGGGCCGGGAAGTACATGTGCGCCCCGAGGCTGCTCTGGATCTTCACGTCCAGCCCAACGCGCTTGAGCATCTTCGATGTCCACGGCCCCGCGGTGACGATGACGGAGTCTGCGGTGAAAGTGTTGGCGTGTCCCCGACAGAGGACGCTCGCAGGCGGGCCTGCATCAATCCGCATTACTTGGCACTGGTCTTTGATCACTCCGTTCATCGCCGTGATACGACCCTATATATGGGCCGGGAATGAAGAGAATTTCAAATTCCAATGATTAGTACATTGATTTATATAGTTTTTGTCGTTGTTTAATGGTACAGTGTGAACTTCAGTAATTCAAACCGCATTTGGAATGGAATACCTCTCGAAGTCGAATTCTTTTCAAGTCCCCATCTGAATTCCATTAGTAACATTGTCATACTAAGAACCTCTCTGTAACTCAAAGGCATTTCCTCTCAAATATCCTTATCTCAAATATTAGTAGACCTTTTGGCGTTTATCTTCTTGCCCCAGGTGAGAGAAAATCAATAAAAAATTGATGTTGTGCTTTGAAAGGAATTTAAAGACTAGTTTGGCAAATAATTGAAGTTCAGCATCCTGTCATTCCATTCAAGAGATCCAGACGACCCAATTTAAAGCCCAAAATATCTCCGTTCACAATTTCCTGCAATTCTTCCATGTTTCCCCACAATAAAAATGCTTGTTTCCCTAACCCAAAACTAAGTTGAAAACTCCCCAAGTTAATTTTGTTTTCCAGTCCCTTGAAATTTGACTTGATGAGGTTCCACTGTATATATTTGCATTTATAATCCTAACTCCGCTTCATATTTTCAAAAACATTCCTACACAAATGTATCTCATTTTCCCTCCCGTTTTTTAAGAATGCGTATTTCGATGCATTACACTGCTAGGGAAAAACTGCGAAGTACAGGCGTACAGCACTGTACTGTAAAATTTTATCCTGTAAAAAAGGTGCAGTAGCTTTTTTTGGAAATCCTGTACTGCTTCAGATATGATCACAATCATTACAAAGAATAAAACGTGTTGAAGTGTATTTCACAACAACCATAACATTTTCAAAACGTATTATTTGTCATAGTATCTGGCCTGTGATAAAAAATATTATTATCGTGGTCAGTATTGGTTTTTTCGATTGGTCGTGTTCTTCATATAAAAGAACTATAAACTGTAATAACATTTTCTCAATTCTTGACTATATTTGCGATAATTATCTCGTAAAATTGATTCAAGACTGACTATTCGCTGCGAAAAGGTTGCAGTTCGCAATCAACTTTGGTTTAATCAGTCTTTAATGACGCCCTGGCAATATTTAAATATCGGAGGTTTCGTTTTCAATTCCATGCGTCATCAAGGGAAAGTTCATTTCTGGATTGTCATGAACTGGTGTATAAGAGAATTAATGGAAGGATTAATGGATCATGAGGTGTTTCGTTTTGAGGCAGCAGATATTTCATTGAGCAGTGTGGTTATTTTTTCTTTCGAAATCCGCCGCTGTAAAAACCATTTCTTGCGGTTGTTCAATTCTACTGATATATCGATGAAAGACTTCTAAAAGACTCGGTCAGATATCTATTTCTTCCTTATTTTTCTTTTTAACAAAAACTTAATGCGAAGTTTGATAAAATTCTGCAGTAGTACCTTTTTATGGTTGTTTTTTAAATTGTCCACTGCTTTAATTATTAAAGTCCACACAAAATGCGTAGGAAAAACACCGTTGTTTCTGATGGTGACGTCTCTGTATATGTGTCCGTCGAAATTCCTCTCACTTTCAAGATTTCAAGCCATAATTCAAAAAGCTACTCACTCAGCTATATATAGATTAAATCTTGAATTCTACAATTTAAATGGTCTCGACTACTGAATTATGAATATCTACTGTGTCGATATTCGCCATACAAATCGGTTCTACAGATGGCGATATTGAGATAACCGCGAATAATTTGGGTCACTAATCCGGTATTAAAAGAAATCGGCCTACTCAACCCATACTGGGAAAGGGAAAGACCGCAGTGAAATTAAGTTAAAATTGCGCAATCCAATTTCGAGAACGAATACATAAAAGGGGGAAATGCCTCAAATTGATCAACTCCATACGAATTGACCGCATCCATTTTTGAAAGGCTATTCAGGGAGAGACTCACAATAACAGCCTTATTCCTGCAAAAAATAGCTCAATATTCTGAGGAGTTTTGAATATTGTAAAATGTGATTTTCGGCACAACGTCAACAACACTGACCACCTTGTGAACGAGAGATAATTTTTCGCCTCTTCAAGGTTGCATGAAAAGTATACAAAGAATGAACAGTATAAATGATATTATTGTTAGATGGGATCATAGGAATACTTTCTCTGGAGATTCCCGACTTTTACATCTCAATCCCTCTAATATCTCATTTGGACAGTCACTCATTAATAATTAAAGTTTTCTCACGAATGTCGCCAATTTTCTCACATTTTCCAGGGACCAGCAGCCACTTATCCTATTTCTGAAACGATAAACATGTTTCTTATCTCTCGCAATCGCCGAACTCCTGTGGCTGGTATGTCTTCACATTTTCACCCATCTTCCATATTGATCATGTCATATTTTTTTTTGCTGATCAATACATCAGCGAGATTCTTGAAGTACCTTGGATTTCCAAAATTATGATAAAATGTGAAGAGCAATAAACTGCATTTCCCAAGAGTTCTCAATACGAGTGATCCAGGTCGTTAAATTTCCCGTATCCCTTGTCGTTCTTATTTTTTCTTAAAAAATATATTTTGTCATCCGTTTTATCTTTATGGTTTTTATAATTTCAATTTCCTCATTGGAGGCCATTGGAAGGCAAGCTATTAGCACAGTCCATGCAGAACTGTCCTACAAACAATTGGAGAAAAAGAATACAGAACGATACGATACACTATATAAAATGAGATGAATTAGCGTCAAAAAGAGTGATGCAGGACCCATTATTCTATAGCTGAAAAAAACCTTCCCTTCCACTGAGTTCAAATTTCTTAGCCGTCTAATAGCCACCGACATTCAACCACAGCACCGCAATACAGTAATTATTACAAAACCAACGCAAGATATCTGCAGAGTCAACTTGTGGATAAACAATGACAATAAGCCCATGAATCCCCAAACCTTTCACATTTGTTGTTGGCATTAACAGAAACTAACCAAAGAATGCATCATAAAGGTGCAGCTGAAGAAATAGAACACCAGCTATCAATTGTTTTGTGGCCACAAACCAATATTCAAGGCAATATCTTGAATATATATGTTCGAGCCACCTTGAATATATGTTCCTATTTTAAAGTCACTGAAATGCCTCCAGGTTGGGAAGGCCTAACTTGGGAAAAAATCTGGGTAGAGCATATGGCATTGTCATGAGAAATCCCTAATATTCATCCTATGCCAGGAATTCTGAAAAACCGACCCCGCAAGAACTTTTTCTTCATTTCTCAGGAAACATTTTCTGCAGGATGATAAAAAAATATCAGACTTTTTCTGACCTAGTAGGCCTTGGTTCAAAGATTTTTCAAAAGTCTCAGTGCTCATGGTCACACAATTTTGCAGAAATATCCCAACTTTGTCACACAATTGTCAACAAGATACACTGAAATTATAGCACAACTGTGTAAAATGAATTTGTGCTCATATTCAAATCAGAATAGCACAGGCATATTAAAAAATATGTAATCATAAAGAAGGAATGAAAGGAGAGTGGTTCTTCCTCACAATGGAGGATGTGTCCAGATTCCATGTTTAATCAAAACTTAGAAGATGAAAACTTTACGCATTTTTTTTTTTTTCAGTGCACTCGCCGCAACATTTGTACAGGCCACATGAGTAGCGCATGAAACTCGTCTGAATCCATGGACAGGAATGAATAAAAAATTAAAAATTGAGCTTCTACCATACCTCAGAAAAAGTTTAGGGATGAATGGATCGGGAATGGAACAGGGCCAGGGACAACAGTGATGGTGTCCCTGATTTCGCTTCTCACCCGCAGCGCGTTGAGGATTTTGGCAGCCAGCAGGATGCCACCGGAACCGTCAACAAAACCCGCAGTGGTATTGTTAAAGTGCAGATCCGGGTAGTACTTCCGCACCTGGTCAGGGTCTAGAACGCGTCGCGCGGCCCGGGTGCGGAAGGACTGCAGCAGGTTGTCGATCTGCGGCACGGGCCAGCCGCCGGCCACTTCCGTGATGATCAGCAGGTCGTGATATCTAGCGGAGGTTACAGAGAGACAAATACATTGGTATGCTATAATATACCCCAAGATGTCACTCCTAGACCTCTCTGTGCTATAATGGCGGAGAGGTGGTTTCTAAGTGGTCCTGCTCGAGACTTGACACGATGGACAGTCTTATCGCTCCCTCAGTTCAATACTGTATTTCCCGATCAACCAAGATTTCATAAAAAATGTACATGAATTAATTGAGCTACAGTATATAATTTCAGCTAAAAATCTTTAAAAGGAATATTTTCCTCGCGAAGGGCGCCAAAGCTGGAAACGCAACTTGAACGACGCGGTTGCTATACACCCGTGCTGGAAATATTTCGTGTTTTGTTTTGCCACCTTGTCGAAAAGTTATTAGGTTTTTTAAAAAAGTTGGTTCCTATTTGGGCCTGAAATGGCACCCTGAAGAAGCGCAACGTGCGAGTTTTGTAAATAAATTCAAGGCTCGAGTTGTTTAATGAGTTATAAACACATTCCGCCTTCATGAGAAAGTGTAGGCCATGAAATATATGGTTTAAAATAATGTTAATTTTTCTATAAATGCAAAAGAGTGTCCAGCATTCCTTGGGAAAAAACGTGTTTTTGCTTTTGTCCTTTTACACAGCACAGGCGCTGCGAGATGCCTGAAAAGAGCTGACAGTTGCATGGAAATCATCATATAAATTTCACTCACAAGGTTATCTTTGACATTTTTCATGCACTCGATTCACCCCAAACAGCCATGAGAAACAATCGAATTTAGAAATACAGTACAGTATATCGATTGGGCAGAGGGTGTGAACTTCCATTCATTTTAACTTCACGGGTGGCAGTTCTTCGTGAGCTTCAGAAAGTCTCCTTGAATCGTCGTCCCAAAAAATTCTAATAAAAATGTTGCGGTTTGCCTGAGTAAAAACGTGGCAGTTTTGCAGGGAGCCATGAGAAAATCCATAAGCTAATTTGAGGATCTACGCAAACACAACGCTTGAGAAGCATGCAAATTCTTTCAGTACAGATGCTCTTGATAAGGTTACATCCCCAGGTTTTCAGAATGATCGACGAAAAAAAAATCTTGCCTTCATCGGTTCTTCAAATCTAAAATATGCAAAATTTTGGGAGATAACATTAGAGATATATGCCGATATTCACAATATTTGAATGCTAGCAAGATTACAACAAAATTTATTCGCACTTTTTCGTTTTTCTCCCACTCCAGTCGTCTTTTGATCAGCCACAAATATAAATCCAAGTCATCTTTCGAAATTCAATCAACTTCACGCATTCGTTTCGACCTCGGTAATTTTTCAATTGAGTTGAAGCTTGAGATTTCATAATGAAGAACTTACTCGAAGAGGTTTTCTCCAGTTTCTTCCTCCAATTGTCTCCATAATGGATACGACTCCATCAGCAATGGGATCCAGTTCTCGTCCGTACTCGCCAATTCAATGCCTCTCGATTGTCCCATCGAACTTCCTCTTGAGTGGGGCAACGGGAACTAGTGATACAACAATCAAGTTTTTCCGTAATTTGCGATGTACGATCAGCATATACTCACAGCAAATTTTTGTTTCTTTAAATTAAAAAATTCCCCTACGCCTGGAAACAACTGCCAAAATTGTCTTTCAAAATATTCAATAACATCTCATGGCCTCTTATCTACATTCTGCACTTTGCAATAAGGTGAGATAGGAATCACAGACTGTTATCCCACACTGGCGTATTTTATTTTATGAGAATGAATATATTTATTGCCAAGAATGTCTTCTATGGATCTGAGATTTTTAGTACGAGTTCAACAAGTGAATAACGTAGATGATGAAGACATTTCCCCCTTTATGGTCGGGCTGCTGTAAAACAATGGACTCCTATTACAAGATATAAGTTATGATATAATTCTTTCACAATAAACATAAAGGGCAAACGTAGATTAGAATACAGCGTTAACCAATCTTTTTGGGCCCGCAGACCAGCAAATTTTCAAAAAAATTTTTCCCCGACTGGCAATTTTTCAACAACAAAAAGTTCTGTGGACTGACAAAGTTTGATAACAATTTGTGACTCAAAAACGTTTTTGGAAGACTGTATGGCAGGTATTTAAAAGGTTTCTGCTGTTTCAATCAAGTTCAGAACCAATGAAACAGCTGTAGTTGAATGTCTTCAAGCCATTAGAAAAGTTGGCTTAAGGAAGGGTTCCTTGGAATTAAATTTACATTAATTTATTTCAGCAGGTGAAAATTTGTCAGAAATGTTTATTTTTCATCAGATAATTTCAACTGTCATTGTCTCTCCAAAATTTCATAAAGATAAAATACTCTACTTCCTCACAACTTAGCATATATTTATTATGCTAAAAAAAATTCCAGTGGACTGGCAAAAATCTTCTGCAGACTGGCTGCAGTCCAGCATGGTTAGGAACATTGGCATAGACATTCAGTGCACATAGGTATCATTGCAACCCTTCAAAGAATACAGAGACAAAAAATATGATGGAAGTGAAATGTGTTGCCAAAGATTTTTAACTGAAGTGATGCAAATTAGAAAATTACCACGCACATAGAATAACCAGGATGGATATTTTATTGGAAAGTTTTGTAGATGTGGGATAGGATGACACACGTGACAGTGTATATGCACACAAAAATCAGAAAAATCATTCCATTTCTGAGTGAAGTACATGATGAGCATTTTAGGGTTGTGAATAATTTTTGATCAATTTCCTCAATTGTCCTATCCGCGTTTCAAGCCCAAAAAAAACTTTCGATACAAAACGTCGTACGACGACACGCGTGTTTTGAAGAACATGACGCACAGACGAATTATTGACGAAGAATTTTCTCGTCACCGTCCTAATTAAAAACAATAAATATCTTACCTGGTCCAAGAGCAAGACGTACTTTCCCCTCGATGCCAAATGATAAGCTGTCCATGACCCCAAGATTCCAGCTCCGACGATGATGTGATCAAATCGCTTGCGTCCATCCACTGAAACAATGAGAGTCAAACTCAAATAAATAATCTAAGTACTGTACATTATACCGACATTTAAAAGTATGAAACATCGGGGCAATAATAATCCCGCTTTTTTTGCAGGCATGATTTGCGAAATCGCACAAGACTTTCAGTACCGCGACAGATTCATATCCTATTACAGAGATTTCGTTTTCGAACTGCTCAAATGATCAACGGAGTTTCAAATAATAATATAAACTGATGAACGGGCTTCTATAGACATATAAAAGGTATGCAATATAGCATTAAGAATATATACGGTATTAGTCCGTGGTAGAAGGTCAAAGAGTTTCCGTTCAATATTATTTAGATAGGTTTCAAACCGCACATATTGTGTCGCAAGAAAGAAATCAACCGAGATTGATGCAACCCAGAGTAAGGTCACATGAAATTGCTAGGCGTAAAATTAAATCATTTTTTACTCCATAATGATTACTATTCATGCTCGAATCTTTCGGATGCACGGTATAAGAATCCAGCCGTAAGCAGCCACAAGATTTCTCAACGCTGCAGCACATTTTTGATTTAGAAATGAACATACCCTGAAACCCAGTAGTACTTCCTTTCCTCTTTTCTTGCATGAATTCTATTTTTTTGTTTCTATTCGAAGATATAAGGAGAATAGCGATAGTGAGAGTTCTCCGTGAAGAGGTATCTCCGGAATGTAGAAAGATTAAATGAGTATTTTGAGTCCTTGCAATTCATGGCTGTGAACCAGAAACTAAATAAAAAAATTTGATTTAGTTAAGCAGATCAATATTCTACTGAAGAATTATTATGAGAAAAGCCAACTTTCGTATTTCATCAAAGAACTTCAACTGCCATGATTGTATCTCAAAAATTTTAATTGAAGATTACAGACTTCAATTGATCTTTTCAATAAATTTATCATGCTGGAAAAAAAAACTTGGAGAATAACAACCATAAAAAAACGTATGTGGCGGACCACAGTTCGGGGAACACTGATGCAGTGTACTACTTTTGATGGACCAGAATGTGTTCAATGAATGTGTGAATTGGCTTGTGGGAAACTTTTGTTAGCCTTGTGAATGCTGAAAATAGACAGCAAACAAAGTGTGCTTGTACTCCACCTCGTCACTCACTCGCCGGCCATCGATGAGCAATAACTCAACATTAAATCATCGCCGATTACTGTAAATATAGTACAGTATTTTATAGTTTATTCCAGCTATAGATTATGAAGTCAACTAATTTTTCAAATGCTATAGCTGCACGATGGAAGACACAAAAATGAAGCTTTATTGACAGCCCAGGTCTGTACAAAATGAAGACATCCAGGCGCGTCGCAAATGTCATTAAGGACCCGGTCGGAGTCGGCAGCAGCGGTTCGAGTGCTCATCACCGAGCTGTTATAACGGAAAAAATTCCCCAGGAAGAGTCCCGAGTATTTGCTCGATTATTCCACTGTCTTGGTCCAGCAAAACTGGGGTAATTTCACTTTCGAGCCCGACGGCTACTTGCCAATAAAAAGCAGCTGCCGAAATGTGGAACAGCTAGTATATAACAGAGCCGCTTTCCATTCCCCTCGCACTTGCGTAGTATACTGTATAAACACAATACACGTGTTATTACTTGTTCGCTACAAGTAACGAACAGTCAGCAACTTGACCAGCAGCGGTCGATTGAACGACTGCATCTTTGAAAGGAACAGAAACCGTTTTCCTCTCATGGATTTATTTTTATTTTATTTTTGATTTTCAAAGCAATTTCTCCATCATTTTCAGAAGCGTTTTTCCCCTAGGCAAAGCAGTAAATCGCTATTGTCGACATTTCTATTGAGTTTCTCCAAGTCCCAGGACTTGACACTTGAAGTACTAGCGATTTTTCGGGAAACAGTTGGAGCATTTTTTTTTCTTTCGAATAATCTTTGGGCTCAGGCCGTTATTCCTTTCATACCCCATGATTGAAACTTATTGCGAAAACTTATATTAAATAATCAGGGCGGAAAAGATTCCGTAACGGCTCAAATACTTCTTTAATTAGATTTTACACCTCGAATAATGCGGAAAATTCAGAAAATTGGGTTTAGGGACTAGGGTTGATGTCAGTCAACTTTTAAGAATTGGCTCTCATGTTTCAAGTACTGTATAAAAAAATTACTGTCACTGTCCGTCGCTGTGCGTTGGTTTTGCAAAATTAATCTCGGCGTCCCCTTGTATTTTATCTATTTTATATATTATGAATTCCATTACAGTTATAAAAATTCTGCGCTATAGTGAGGAAACATTACAGGGCCATAGGTGAAGAAACGCATACTGAAGAAAAAGGCGAAGAGCATTTGCATTTACTTTCTGGGTTGAAAATAACTTTTGAAAAGCGCTTCGTACGCTTATCTGAATCATCCGTATAGATCCTTTCAAAAACATGACGAATGACAAGCATTTCACTTTTCATTTGACCTCTTCCTGGTATTATGACTATTTGACGAATATCTGGAGCGATCAAAAAGTGCAGCAGACCAATCGAATCACGCTGTTTACGGACTAAAAGGTAGCTATCAACGATTTAAAACATGAACTCGGTTGAATACGCGCCCGGAATGTCGTAGAATAACGTGATCATAACCGTGTCGCCCCATTTTATCGCGAAGTCATCATCAGCTGTTGTCCCATGGATACATTCGGGGAACCAAAGGAACCACGGCACAGTATTTGACCAGTCATTGGCCCTGATGAACCACGAACACGATTTCCGCGTGGGATGACCCAGAAATAAAACTCTACCTGCACACTGAAAAAAAACCAAGTGACAAGTTTATACTCTCGAAATTCAGACAAACGTTGGAACGAGAAAAAAATCCGCTTTGAAAAACTCTAATTTGGATGCTGTAGTTTCATCAAGAAACACAAAACTAAGTGTTGGGAGGTCATCGTTTCGGACACACAAAAAAAAAGGATTTCACGGCAAAGTTTCAGAAAAAGCATGCTACACTTTATACGTACAGTATGTGGGAAATTTCAAAAATTTGACCTATTTTCAAGCGACACTATCTTTATTTCAGTGGTCCAACATTTTCATCAATAAATGTGCAGCGAATAAAATTATCTTCCAAAGAATGTGTAATTCCTTGGTTTTAGCGGTAATTCTATGATACAAACCCCGGTGATGATTGAGCATGCTGTCGTCTATATTGTTTTCATATGTCCCAAAACATGTGAAGAATACTCCATTCTGCATTGTGCTCTTGCATTAAAGTCTCTGCCTGGCAACGGAGTTGCCCCTTTTTTGGTGTAATTATTGGTGTCTGGTCACTGGTTGTTCCCCCCCCCCCTTTCTCCAGATGCCCTCATTCTATTTTTGTTCTGCTTTGACACAAGCCCACTGCAAAGGCTCAAATATACAAAGGCATCTGGGCATTTAGTTGCCTTCACACATTGCAGGGAATCATAAGGTATCACATTTTACTAATCCGTACAAAAAGTGTGTTTTGCTTAGAAAAGCAGCCCCGGCCAAAAGAACTTAATTCCTTTGTACAAGGATTGTCTTGTAAGAATTTTGGGATGAGACAAATGTATTGAAGTTGAAGAGACATCCAAGACTGATAGAATGTGTTTTATTAACAAACCCAACAATACATTGGGCAACAATGCCTTATTACTAATTAAAGGTTGACACATGCTGCTTCAGCAGTAGCTTGTTAATCCTCCAAGTTACTGCGTTTGAGTTTCGAAAATTCCAAACATTTTCCAAAGTTTAGAAAAGGATTAGAGACCAAAGTCGTGCTTTATGGATAAGAAAAAGGACCAGTAAATCATTCATTATTAATTCAAAATGCATGCTCATGATTGTGATCCTAATGATAAATTGGTCAAAAAAATGTAGAGGTTTGGGACAAGCTATCTTACAACAAGCTATTATTTGAAAAAAGCTCGTCTTTAAAAGCATCGATTCACTGCTGAGAACGTATTATTCGAGTATTAATGCTTGATTTTAGACTTAATGCTAATTTTACGAAAATCAAAAGCTGAAAGATCGAAATCCATCAAATATTCAGAATTTTTTTCAACAGAAGACTTTCTTTCATGGCCAAAATTCTTTTAATTAAATAAAGTTCAACAGAGGATGTTCATAGTTTATAATAATTTCAGAAAATTTACAATTGCTTGATGCCAAAACATCTTGATTGCTAGAATTAGACGCACTCGATAAATTGAAAGAAAAAAGTTTTATGCGACGTTTATTTTTTTTTGGCGGCATTTTTATCCATATTCAGCGTATGTAAGTGGTAGAAAATCTGTACAATCAAACTCCAACGTAAAGAATTTTCCTCTTTTTCTTCGGCAATCGTGATTTTTCCGGGTTTCGCTTGAAGGACTCAGCCTTTTTATGTCTTTTTCTTCCCAATGGTTTTTTTTCAGTCGCTTTGTAAACCTTAGAACATGCAACGAAAATCGAGCAAAATTCACGACGTCAAATAAAATTCGTTGATTTTTTTTATCGTCATCAGAAAGAAAATATTGTGCGCTATGAGCATGAATCGGCAAGAAGCGAAGTAAACGTTCATCAGTTCTCGCTATGGGTTATGATAAACATGATGATGATAAACTTCCTGCTTCCCGTTCTTTCCGGTCCACCCGAGCGCATTGCGTGAACAGCGTATACTCGTATAGATGGAAAGACTGAATTTTCCAACGAGATGGACCGCGTCATTTTTTCGTCTTGAAAATGTTTACCATGTTACGAAGTACCATTTTTTGTACTCCGAGGAATTCACGCTTCCGCGAGACATTCCTATATTTCCGATTGAGGTGAGATTTTCTCACCAGCACCTTTTGTGGTGCTCCCTTCTCATGCGTTACAATGTTTCTCACCAGCCGTAAATCTCTGCTGACCTTTTACACCTGCAACAGTGTCTCAGAATACTTAATATTCAAGACGCGTTCTCCACTCCCTCTTCCCATAAAAAACCTTGATGCATGTCCTGTCCAGTACTTTCTACACACTGTTTCGAAAGAGGCAATGACC